TCTCGTGTGACTTCCTAAACGATAGCTGCACCAAGTACCATGTCTCCAAGTGTACTACATTCGTCTCGATACAGAAGAGAGGAGGTGGTCCTCGTCCCAGGTGTGGCTGGCTGCCTTCGCTCTAAAACAACGCAGGAAACCCCAGAATCGTTTTTTGGAGAAAGAAAGACGATCCCGGCTTGCGTTACGCTCAAGTTTGGCGTCACCGTTGGGGTTTTGTTAACGCGGAGGTCTACTTTTCATTGCAGCAATCCTCACAATGCGAGCTCGGGTCTCGGGGTGTGACCAGAAGCGGCTGTCGAGGCCCAGCTGTCCCGACAGCGAGTGCAAGGCCGGGCCAGACTGAGAGGTGGGGGGGATAGCGGGGGGGGCATGGCAGGGGTGCCATGGTGACAGAGCAGGCTCGGACAGAGGAGGGATGCTAAATGAAGCTATTGTCTGGCCCAAGTGAAGCACAGCGCACAAAGAAAGGATCATTCACACAGTCGCACAGGCCTATTGTTGTGACGGGCCGGCAGAGTGCTGCAGGTCCTCAGTTTGTCCCGCAGGATCCGGAGAGAGATCTGGATCGGAGAACGCGAAGCTCTGACACCGGAGGAAGTGCTCCCCCAAACTGCTCTAGATCACTTCGTCGAGGGAAACACTAGTCGGACAGAAAAGAAAGCTGCTGGTTCTGAAACACTCGCTGTGTAAAAAGGGACAAATTGTCGATCCAAAGCAAAATACCCATCGACTTACTTAAATACCTGAGAAATAAGGTCCATCATCTTGACTTTACATTTAATCGTCTAAAATTGCAACATTTCCATAATGTGCCACACCCACCGTGACATGGAAAGGCACAGACACCAATGTAGAAATGGTAACGGCAAACATATGGTCTCCCAGTACACGGTACACGGTCACAAGATACCAGCTGTGTGGGGCGAGTACAGGAAGGAAATTAGGGATGAAACATGCATCCTGAGTCACTGGCTAAACCGAGTCTACCAACTACGTGCCAAGTACACCGACGGGATCGGCTGCTTTTCTCAGAGCCATTCGTGGCCGACTTACACAAAACACCAACAAATTACGGACATGGTCACAAGTTGGGCGCGTGTGAAATAGTAAAACAGGTTTCCACACGAACATCTTCGGGACACTAAAGAAAAGGCCGACATAGAAACAGATTCTACTCAACTCCTCCCTCTGAGCATCATCGACCTACGGAAACCATGCTGAGATATGGTGGAGGGGGGGTGGGAGGGGTCTGAGGGGCTCAGCTGTTTTACAGCCACGCCTTATTGACATCCGCCATTGAGAAAATAATCAGTCTATGACACCCCACCCCTCCTCCGCCTCCACGCCTCTGCCCTCCCAGGTTCGATGCCACTCCTGTGAAACGTAACACTCAGTTCATTAACCCAGTTTACAGAGAGAGCTCCGGGAGCGCTCCACAGCCGGTACAATACCGCCGCCGCCGATCCCCCGATAAGGGACCAGGGCCAACAGAAAGTTCTTTATCTCCTTATCCATCTCTGCTTCCGCCGGCAGCGCCTGTGACAACGGGACGAAACATCAACAAACAACCGCCGTCTAAGAACCAAGGGGGCGGTGCGGGTGGCTGTAGCCGGAGGCCGTGGCGGCGACGAGGAAGCACCGCCACTTGGCGTGCTGGTGATTGTTAAAAAGGCGACTGGTTCGGCTGCCAATGTCAACTTATTAGACACATGGCACGAGCTTGTCTGACTACATGCAAGGCCTATTGTGTTTGATGATCTAATCTTCAGGTTTACCGTCAGGCACACTGGCTACCCAAAGCGTGACTTTCCACTCTTAATCAATCTTATAATCACTAACGTAAAGACGCTTGAGGCAAAATTGGGATTTCAAATTACGGCCTGTATGAAATAACCTGTACTGGTAGATGATTTGTTGTGCATTAAAGCATTAAATGGCCGCCAATATCTGTGATGGGTCTATCACATCATCTGCTGGGGGAGAGCATGCCGTTCCAACAGATACTAATCATTCGCAGAAAAACAAGACCTGCGATTCAATGCCGTCAACGCCGACCTGGCACCAGCCGACTCCCTGTCTGAGCATCAACACTGTGGACAAAATAATAGCACGGTACGCCACGTCAGGTTTCTCCCGTGTTGACAGTGAAAACACGTCTGCGGATCGCACCGCAGCGGCCCGTTGCAGGCACGCACAGGCCCCCCCCTCCATGATTTAGTGCCGTTTAATTCTCGGGAATGCAGGACTTTTCTGACGAGCGTCCGAATGAGAGTGAGCCGCCGCGCTGGAAGGATTGTGCTCCGATAACCTGCGTTGGGGCTTCGTTCCACTTCCCAGCGAAGCGATAAAACCTGAATATTAACTGAGAACAGGTGAAGTATCGCGTGTCTGAAAGGCCCAGGGGCCGGTTCCTTTCATCAGGGGTAGTGTGGCTTTACGAGGGCCCGAGAGACTGTGGGAAGCCAATTTACTGACAACGTGGTACTGGGACACGCCGAGAGATGACCAACACTGACTTTCGACACACACACACACACACACACACACACACACACACACACACACACACGACAAAACGTAATCCCCACAAAAACCAATGAGGGCACGTTGGAGTTTGACTGCAGATTAGAGTCTCACGGACAAACCTGCCCCGGCACATGCGTTACATGTGTAATCAATATTGCTGAATGTTTTATGATAGCAGGTTGCAGAACAGCAATTACCAAAGTTGCATAGTTCATCCCCTCAGAACCACCAGTAAGTATTATTTAACTGTAAAATGGCCAACATCTTGGTCACACTTGACATCATCAAAAACGTTTGTTTTGGTCTGTTTTTGTTTTGTCTGTAAAAACAGCACAATAATCAGCATATGTCACGCTACACTTTAAACACCGGGTCAAATAAAGGAATCAGTAGCCAAGGTTACTAATAAGTTACTATTCTCACCTCATGCCCATGAATCACACCTTCAGTCCTTCAAAGTAAAATGCTTAAAGGTAGAGGAAGGAAAGAAGGACCTTTAGTTACATAAATCTACCGGACATTAACGATCACGGGGATCCTCACATCCAAGCCAGAGCACGTATCGACTTTTCCTCTCTCTCCCCCCTCTCCCTCTCTCTTTGAGGGGTGGAGACCCCCGAGGATCCGCTCGTGGACCCCCGCGGGTCCCCGGACCACCGCACGGACAGCCGTTCCTGGATCTTTTTTTTCTTCTTTTTGTCGTTGTGGGGAGCCGTTGGACGCGCGGTGTCCCCGCGAGGACAGGTCCGCCCCACGGCCAAAACAAACGAGATGCAAATGCCGACCGATTTTTTTCTCTTTTGTTTTTAGGCGTTCAGTTGAAGACTTTTTGACGTCGTCCTTACCTCGTCACGCTGAACATTGTTCTCGGTCACCGCGTCCACAAGTTCATCGGGTCGGCAGAGAAGTGAAGCTGCGGGAGAAATAAAAAAAAAAAAAAAAGGACCGACGGCTCGAGGGTAATTCAACAGACCGGTTGGTCCGAGCTGCTCGTGATGTCATCGATTTAGTTGAGCGGTTAGCGCGCATGCGTGGTCCTTTGTTCCCGGTGGTTGTTGGGTATTGTAGTGTAGGACGTCAGCAATGCTCCTCTCACAAACCAGGGCGATACCAGTCGCAGGTAAAATTTCTTGAGATAAAATATAACTTATTTCTAAGAATATCTAATCAATAAGGGTGCAGACTTCCAGTTTTTATTTATTATTCATATTTACTGTATGTATGTAAAATGTAAACAATGAGTACTACAGATGTCCTGGAAAACATGCAAGGCATGTTGATTTTTGTTGTGCAGGGGCTGAACATTTATCGGATTGGCAGCATTTGATTTTGAACCACATTCAAGAATCAATATCTTCAGTAGCCCCTTTATGTCCCCTTATTCTCCCCCACCCTTAACAGTGAACATCTCTTGCTTTTTTTAGTACCAAACAGACATCACAGGAATTTTAATGATACTGTAGACAAACTGGCACTTTACATCACAAACATATGAATTATCTCTCCTGTTTAAAATGTTTTTTTAAATGTTCCATTACTCCTCGCCCTCTTCTTCACCATCACCCGTAACAGAATGGAGTACAGCCTCCTCATTATCCTTCTCCAGAGCTGCCAAGTCTTCTGTGACCTCAGGGATCCCTTCCTCCTCCACAGCCTCACCTACATACCAGCGAACAGAGCCGCGCTTTGCTCACATCAGATCAAACTCCAGTCCCCGGATGTAAACCTCCTCCCTGTTGAATCTGTAGACCGTGTGTGGCATGATGACAAAAACAAAAAAACAGGACAGTGTTTATGCTAAATGTTGTGTTTGTGTGTGAGGTCCCATTCACCTGCAATGCACTGAGCAAAAGGCAAAAACGTAAGAGGCAGGTCTGAAAAACTACACAATTTCAAAGGAAAACAAATAGCATCACTTCAAATGGGGGGGGTTAATACTTCTTGTAATATGATTTGGTGTCCTCTGGTGGTGCAAAGATAAACTCCATCATTTGAGTGTGCATGAGATGATTATTTTTTAATTCTATACACACAAGTGTAAGTTTATAAGCAAAATAACTTAAGTATTAACTGCTGTGGCAACACAGAGGCCATAAGAACAGTAAATAGTCCTTTTTGTCAGACTGGAAGCAAATAATCCACGTGGGCACAGGGCCACATATTCAACTATTCAATCGGATTCAAAAGCAACTAACATATTGAATTCTTTATGGACTTTAGTTTACCGACCTCTGTATCGGTTCGTTTGGTCAAATTAGACCAGTAGCCCCACGACTCGGCTCTGGGTCGTTTGCCACCAACAGCGGTGATCCTCTTTCACTGGCTCTCCCTTTTTCATTACAGACACTTAAGACGGCTGCTCCTCAGTAAATCGCGCTCGACTGCGTTTTTAGGAAAAATAAATACATTTCCACGAGTCGTAAAACGTCACGCGGCCTCCTCTCCCTGATACAACACTGAAAGACGTCAAGTCATGCCAGAGCTTCCGTTTTATTATTCACATTTACACAATTCAACCTGTGAGTACAGCGTTTGTACATACGGCAAACACACAGCACGTCTCCTCACACTATGTACAGATTTAAGCCCCTGGGCCACACGTGGCATCACACTCACTCACTCACTCACTCCAGGTTCAGAACAGGCTGAAGGACTTTTAAGTGGTGAGACATACAACACACGTGAGAGTGTTACTGGAATGGTGAATACCTGAAGGAGGAAGAGAACCCGGGATTCACATTTCACACAAAATAACGTCAATCATTTTTACCCGTGAGAGATATTTTTTTTTCTTTTTCAAATTTTGTAGCGTCTTGTAGGTTTGGTACGCTACTAAAATGAAGGAGATGTTTGGTAGAGATAGAAAATATAAATACGATCACTAGTTTGGTGGTGGAACAGTGTCAGCAGCACCACGATGGTCCTGAGATTAAGTGTTTCAAGTGGGGTTTGTTAACATTACTTTGTGTAACGGTTCCAGGGATGATTTCAGTGGTTTAGAAGCACAGTGTCTGGAGTGTCCTTCATTTTCTTGCACTTGTGTCCTTTTCATGGTCGTCTTGCCATGTTGTCGAGTTTGATTGTAAATCTAATCCGGTGCCGGAAGTCAGGAAAAACAAATGCATGAATCTTCAAAGTGAGAACCAACTTGTACGTTTAAAAACACTATACTGTTAATGACTTTAAACTTAGCAAACTATCGCGTTTCTGTCTGAGGAGCCATTCTTTCCCGTGTCACCACTGTCAAGTCCCGAATGACAACCATACCGTAAGAGATATATTTTACACAAAAACGACCTACAGAAATCCTTTTTTTGGTAACGCAAAATACAGTTTGTCAACCATTCGCATCACAGTATCCTTTTTTGGAAACAGCAGTATTTCTTCACTTCAGAGATCAGATTACCACACATAAAAATCCAGTTTTTTCACACAGCTTAACCGATCTTGGAATCCCATTTAACAGAAAAACTGGATTGCCCTGCATCCAGATTCTGAACAATGACGAGAAAAACCAAGTCCTCAAATGATGTGTGCTGATGATCTATATTCCTCTTTATTACGTGTGATTTGTTCTGACTGGACCGTGTCGTTAACACTTTGGATTCACAACAGTTTCCTTTCTTAATCGTGACAATATCAAGATGGACGTTAACCCCTGGGAGCTGTTAATGATTAGAGGGTAATTGTCAAATCTATATTTATCTTTGGTGGTTAGACTACAGCAAAATCGAACACGAAGCACGTTTTTTCTGTTAGTTCGTTTTTCGTGCATGAGGGTCCGTTTTTTTCCATTTTGCATTAAAACTAATGAACCGTAATTCAAAGCAAATTTCACCAACAGAAATCAGCACCATCTCACCACAGGGGGGAGAAGGGGGGGGGGCTTAATTTTTCGGTCGCCGTTGAGTGTCATGCAACCAGTTTCACCACAGAGCGCGTGGCCGGAGAAGTGTGACCACTGCGAGAAAATACTGAGACACGGGTTAGTGTGTTATTCTCCTGGTCGACGTCGGACACGGAGCCGACGCTGACTCGGGGGAAGATCACGTTGGGGCGGCGACAGAGCACCAGGCTGAAAGGTGGGGAGGGGGAGGTGTGAGAGAACGGGATCAGGCTTAACAGATTTTGGCCTTTGCTTGTGTATGTGTGTGCTTAGTGTTTATTGCCCGCTGCATCGGAGAGAAAAAGACAAAAGAGGGGCTGTGGGGAGGTCACGGCCGCGGGGAGCAGGCGCAGCACGGGGCCCCTTTGTTTCTCGGCTCTTGGCTCGGTCACTAGTTCAGCCGACGGCCAGAGGTCGGTGCAGTGAGACGCTATGCTAGAGAGCGCTGACGAGGCTTGATCCTTGGATAGAGCTGCAGAGAGCAAACAGAAACAGGAGATGACATGGTTGATTGTTATTCACGTTTGTTAGTATGTACTTTGTCGCTGAACCAAACCCGTGACTTAAGTCGATTTGTCGAAATCCTATCAAATGAAAGCAGTGAATAGCGGCAACAACCAATGTTGAAACTCAACCCGCCAATCAGTCAAAAAAGTCCTTTCTGGCTTATCAGATAGTCTGCAGATTTGCATCAGGCTTGAAAACTTGAAAGAATGAAAAGCTGATTTTAAGCACCCCTTTAACAAGAATATCAAACGTTAGTAGTTTTGTGCCATCAGATAAACCTTTCGTGATTTCAGCTCTTCAGTCTTTAATGAGGATAAACAAATGAGACCACGACCGTTTTAGTTGAATCAGACTAAATGTGATATATTTTGTCGTTACCCCCAGCAGGTTCCGGGGTACGTAGCCCTCGTTGTCCTCCAGCTGCGCCCACCACCACTCGGTTTCACTGTCGTCCTGTCGCCGCAGAATGGTGATGGCGTCCCCCTCCCCGAACGCAAGCTCGTCCTGGTTCTGAGCTTTGTAGTCCCACAGAGCGTACACGGTGCCCTTGTTCATGACACCCATCTTCTCCTGAACACCTGCAGGGGAATGTCCGAAACAGAGTGTCATTATCCAATTCAAATTGCAGTCTTTTTAAGAGTGATGGGTTGTTTCTCACCGTATAGAAACTGGGAGCACTGGATGTAACCCTCTTCCATTTCCTCGCATTTATCTGCAGCCGTCTCCACGTCACTTATGGTGCTGGCAAAGATGGCCGCCCCCGACTCCACCAACAGCTTGCAGAGATGAACGCTGTTGCAGGAGGCGGCGCAGTGAAGCGGAGTCCTGTTGAGACCGACGGGAAAGTCAAGCGAAATGTAGAAATAAAAACAACGGGAAGAAATCCACCTGACTAACGTGCGTCATCGCTCACCACCCGTCACTGTCTGCAGCGTTGACATTCACACCGAAATCCAGCAGGAACTTGACTATGTGGTGGTGTCCCGCACACACGGCGTTGTGCAGGGGCGTGATGCCCTCGTCGTTGGCGGTGCTAGGGTTTTCCACCTGGAATAAAAAAAATTAAAAAAAAGACAGACCCAGATCAAAAGATGAGTGCGTATCACCGAAAGCGTGCAATTGCAGATAAATCAAAAGTATACTCACACGGTCGTGACATACCTCATAGATGATCCTCTGGACGAGGTCAAACTCTCCCTCCAACGAGGCATCCAGCAGGAGGGCCAGAGGGTTGAACTTCACCCTGAAGCCGTGGCCCGTGCGCTCAGAGTTTGGCTTCTTCAGGTTGGTGCGCTTGTCCTGTGAAGGTGCAGGAAGGAGATGTTAGTTCATCTGTTCTAAACCTCTCTTTAGAATGCGACAGGTGAGCGTCTCTCACCAGGGGCTGCGAGACCAGCGCGCCGCTCTCCTCCGGCGTGGACGCCTCCAGCACGGGGCTCGGCAGCAACAACTCAGAGCCTCCCGTGTTGTTGTTGTTGTCGTCGTCGTCATCGTCGTCGTCGTCCTCTGCCGCCTCGGCGGGATCCATCTCCGGCGGCTCGTTGTCGTTTGTGTCCGTCGATGGAGGCGGAGCTTCAAAGCCCGGCTGCTCCGCCCCCGGCGTCTCCGAGGGGAGGTTACCGTTGTCTTTGTCGGTCACAGAGTCGCCTCCTTGATACGCGGGGGGATTAGCCGGCTGATAAAACGGCGTTCCGCTACCCGCGCCGTTGCCACCGGCTGACCCGCCGACTCCGCTCCCCTCGATGCCTCCCGCCAGAGTGTTAAACCTCTGGTAGAGCAGTTTCTGGATGTTGGGTCCGCTCGGCCCCTCTGGCTCCGTGATGGAGCTGCGCTTCTTGAGTGGCCTCGGAGCGTTGGCCAGCTTTTTGCGGAGCACCTCAAGGTCGGCGTCGCTCTGGTAGCGCAGCGGAGAGTGCACCATGGGCGTCAGCTTGGTGGGGCTGAGCGGTCGAGGGATGTTCTCCACACTGGGAGGCGGCGCCAACGGCTCCGGGTGCTGGAAGAAATCGGGGACATCAAGTTCCCCGTCCAGAGCATCCTCGCCGCCCGCGGGGCCTTGGAGCAATGGGAAGGCCCCTCCCGCCTGGACGAAAGGCAGAGGGGAGGGCGGAGTCGAGCTGGGGTTCAGGACGGGCTTCCCATATACTGGAGACAGAGAGAGTGGGAGATTGAACTGGAGGTCATTGACATCATTTTTTATTTTCATCCCCAATTCACCTGACAAATGTTTTATTTATTTATTGACAAGATAGAAAATGTTCAAAAGTTAAAATTGGCCATCAATATTTCCCAGAAAGACGTCGTAAGATTCTTTGTCGTTTACTCACTATCCAAAACCTAAATGTACTTAATTTCAAAAAACATAAAATCAGGGAAGAACAAGTATATTTGAGGCTGACATAAGCCCATTTATAGCATTTGTCCTTGACACATGATTACGGGCCAACATTTCATTATCAATTTCTTTTTCTTACCCACAGAAAAAATAATAAAAAAATATATATACCGATCCGACTAAAAGCTATTTTTACATAGTCTTCAGTCGCAATAAAGATTGAGATACAGATCTAATGCCAGATTTTGATACCAGATTATGCTGTTATCTAGTCAGTAGCAGCAACAATAAAAGAGATACTGTAGATACCCCACCCCCCGGTATGCGAGGTCTCACAAATCCCTGCCTTACCCTTACCTGCTTTGAGGGCAGACTTGAGTGGCTGGCTCTTTGGCGCCGCCTGCTGGAGGTACATGTGATAGATGGAGCTTGAGTTCATGGTGGGCGGGCCCTTTCGGGGCGACTGAGGCCGCGACCCTCTGTCCGGGATAAAGGGGCGCACGGCCACAGCGGGCGGGGCGTCCAGCCGCTCGCTCAGCCCAGGGGGGAACAGCGGCGCGTTGGGCTGGAAGGTGGGACTCGGCGGCACAGAGATCCGCTGCTGGATCTGCTGGGAGGAGGAGCCCGTGGAGGGGGCGACGCGGGGCCAAGCGGGAGCCGGCGGGTTCGGCAGCGGGCGGGGAGGGGGCACGTCCTTGCGCCGCTCCAAGGAGCTGGCCGAGTGCGCGACGGTGAGGTGGGAGCCGTAGGGGGGCGGCTGTGGCTTGGATATGGCGGGGGAGGACGCGGCCATTTTGCCGTCCTGCGAAGAAGCCTGAAATCGCAGACAAATACCCATTAATGAAAAAAATACATAATAATTAAAATGTGAAATGACATCCGAGGTAAGAAGCTGCAAAAACATCGGACGGATCTGAAGAAAGAGGACAAACCTTTTCTGCACTTGGAGCGACGGAGGTGCCTGAGGGGGGGCTCTTGCCCTGGGTGTCAGCCCCAGAGTCCCGTCTCTCAGGGGGCTTTAGAGACGCGTTGGTCTTTCCTAAAGTAGGCCAACCTGAATCATTAGCTGGGGGAACAAACGGGACACGGTGAGTGACGAGTGATTGAGGCATTAGTCACGGTAATGACAAAGCACATCCACACATCCGGCAGGTCAAAATGGTGCATTTTTTTAAATGTGAAAGATGTGATAAACCACATGAAGTGGAATATGGGTGACGGGATTTCAACAACATGTGTGACATTTTTAATCAATCACAAAGAACACATACGTGTACCATTTTGACCGAGGACTGGTGATGAACGGAGGGTTCAGGATTTTGAGAAGCCCATCATCATTAACCAGACGCATTAAGAGATATTTTAGGTCATCAGATTTTACATCTTTTCCTATGCATACATGCATTGCTATGGATCAATAGGATACAAATCCTGAGCCTTCACTTCACAGCAATGATGAAAATGAATGTATCTGCATTAGTATTTTGGTAAATATGAGTTAGTAGAAGATACCGTTTGTTTTAAGACAAATCTGATTACTTGTGGAGTACAAAAAGGATTTGAGAATAGGTTAAAAAGAAAAAGAAAACCACAACGATGGTTGTGACACAATTCCACAAGAAGGTAGTTATATGATATTACAACAGCACTCTTAAAAACATCCAAAAAGTCTCAAAAGTCAATCACAGCTTTTCAGATTTCCAATAGGCTTTTTTGTACAGGAAGTTTAAAACAAACAATCAATGTATCCACATTAAAGGGAAATCTGTTTAAAAATCAGCTTCCAATATATTCTTAGACTAATGCAGTAATTGTGGAGCAGTTCTACAGACACTACAGGAGTCTAGAAGCAAACAGCTTGAACTGCGTCGTCACAGTTACCCAGTGACAGTTGCTAAGTGAATACGATGACAATTTAACACGCACAAGTTCATTCCCTTGTGCGTGTTAAGTGATTCTCCAGGCTCGGTTGTCGTGGCGATGTGAAGTGATGGTTAAGGTTAGGCGGACTGGGGGATGGAAAATTAGCCTAAAACATTTTGTGTGTGTATTTAGGAGGCGCTCAACTCATTGAACCTTCTCAGAAGTGCACAAACACAGACGGGGACCAGCAGCGCTTTGTCAGGGATGCTTTCTTCTGCACTACGGCGGCTGCCACTGAGAGCTTCACATTTCTGCAGTTTTTGACTGCTGCTTTGACGTCATTAGCCAATCAAGAGAGGAAACCCTCCAAATGGAAAAAGTCAACATGTTCGCTGCGCTGGCAGGAGAACCTAATGACGCCGAACAAGGACGCTTCCATCGGTCAGCCATTGTTTGCGTTAACCGAGTGCAGATGCTCCAGCTGTGCAGGTCAGCTTGTGGGGAAAATCTGTTCCATTACTTTTACAGTGAATTAGTTTTGCGCAGCATAAAAAACATCAGATGGGGATGCGACTGGAGAGGGGCTGAGGGAGCGATTGGACAGAGCTTATTCTGACAAATCTTCAATTCGTGGCCAATCAAACAGAGTATGAGATTTCCAAATGCAAGGATCCCGTGCTACAACCGAGAGAGAAGGTTCAGTAGGTGCCATCTCTTGTTAACGCAGCGCTGTGCACTCACGGGACGAGCCGTCAGAGCCCGTGGAGGCTGCGGTGCCCGGGTGCGATTCCGGAAGGGCCGAGGGCACCGGGTCCACAACGATGTCTAAATCAGACACCTTCCAGGGGCCGGGAGGCTTGCGCACGCCGTCTGCCCCGGGAAAGAGTTGCCCCCGCCCAGCACCCAGTGAGAACAGAGATGTCACGGGGAAAGAGGAAAAGCACCGATGCGCCGGAGAGGAAAGGGAAGCCACGGTGTGCACAGCACAGGTAGAGACACAAGGTTAGAGAGGAAGGAAAAAGGAAATCAAGTGCAGTAACAGTCGCTGGCCCCCGGGGGCGGGATTTCAGGACATGCAAGATGTGTCGCTAGACTTCTGCTTGTGGGAGTAATTAATCCAGAATCCAGACACTATGCTCTCGCCTTGGCCACGTTCCTGCTTCCTTCATAAATCTCCAATCAAAACTACAAATAGTGTAGCAACTGGTTTCCACTACTACAGTTTTGCTTTACAGGGAAATGCATTTTATTTGTGGGAGAGGTGCCAAGAAATCTGCAATTGTAACGTTGCGGGTTTTCAACCAACCTGACTTGATGCGGCCGTGGTTGGCTTGGTTGTTAACCCCGAGGGTCTGAGGCTTGAGGGGATCCGGTGGAACGTTGTAGCCTCCTTCCTGTCGACCCGGTACAGGAACCTGAATGTACGGCCCGACGGCAGCTACGCGGCCGAGAGTACCGGTAGCCGGCTGGGGAGAGGGAGGCCCGTTGGCTCTGTTCAGCTATAGACAGTCGGGAACAGATTCAAGCATCAGGACAGTCAACAGGGGGAACACTAAAGATGTAAATGGAGACATCTCATGTATTAAGAACAAACAAGTCGGTAGCCATGATTTCTTAACTATTTGACTTGTATTTTGGCCTGTTTTGTCGGGACGGAATTCCCACTGGCTCAAAGGGGGCTTTTGTCACACAAAAAGAGTCTTAATGAGGGGACGCGTTGCACGCTCTTGTTCTTACGGGAAGGTTTTCTTTTTGACGTGCCTCAGCTTTTTTCTTGTAGAGGCGTTCCCGCAGCTCGCTGATGCGCTTGTCCATGAGCGTCACCTCCATGTTGCGTTTGTTGAGGAGATCCTTCTGTTGCTTCAGCTTGCTGTTTTGCTCCTGGTTCAGCTTGTTCCGGATCTGTGGAGGGCGACAAAACGCAGCGGCAAAAACTTCAGCGGGTGAAGACAACATGGCTCAACAAAAGGCGTATTCCTACTACACGGTACCTGCAGCTCCTGGTAGAGTTTGCGGAGCTCCAGGGCGGCGGCGCCGGTGACTTGGCTGCCCAGGGCGGTCTGGATGCCGTTGAGCTTCCCCTTGCGCAGGTCCTCCAGCTGCAGGCTGAGCTGCTCCACCCTCAGAACCGCCGACTGCAACTCGGCCTGTTTCTCCTGGAACAGGCTGCTGACTTGCTCGATCTCTGCCGCTGGATGTGGGGAACGAAAAATAAATAAGACACAAGGTCAGCTTGTTTGTTACGAGGAAAAAAACGACTCAATCGCACCGTATAGTCATTGAATGATGTGCACATTCAAAGTATACATACACAGGTTGCCGTTGATGACCTTGCTGTAGTCCACCTGGCCTCTCATGGCCCGGATCTTCTTGAGCTTTGCCTCCTGGCTCTCCACGCGCTCCTTAAGCTTCTGCAGTTTCTCGCTCTCTGACACGGTTTGCTGCTGACGGCGCTCCTGCTGCTTCAGGTAACGCAAGCGTTGCTCCTTCAGAGGGATGGACGTTTTTTATTTTATTTATTGGCAACAGGAAATAAAACACGATGCAGCCCCAAACATGCCCGGAAACTAGGCTAAATCCTTCCACTGTATGCACAAAATGAAATGCTGTGATTCGTCAAGACTGACTGTTCGGATCAGATGACTTCATCCAACTGAGAACTGCTCCAGTTCAGATCCTAAAATAGGAAATGACAGGCCCAGGTTTCCAAATGACTGCAGGGCCAATCCCCCCCCCCCCCCCGACTACCACAAAGGCAACGAATGACTTTCTATCCGCAGGTCTGCGCTGGGCTTCATCCTGCATGACTGATCCTGGTGGTCAGCCTCAGTGGGGGCACTGAGCTGGTCGACTGGTTGTGTGAAGCTTCTTATTCCTCCCATTACGTGATGAAATCTCCTTTTTGTGACTGAACTGACAAAAAAAACGGTAGTATCCCTGGTCCTGAAAACCATGAGTTATGTACATGCTCGAGTAAACACGGCGATGTCTGTGCATGAGTTTCCATAAAGACGGTATGAAGTATGAATTCTGACAAACTGGACAATCGCAGCACAGTGACTCATCCTGCCTCCCATCTCATTTGTTACATAACGTTTGTCCCGGTTTCGGGTCATGGCACGGCCTCTTTGGACCAGAGTAGAGCAACGCGAGTGTATTTAGTCCTTAAGGGAAGGTTTGGTAAGGACTGACCAATTTTCTAACATAATTTCCTGTGTAATTCTGAGGTGGTGCTTCAGACGTGACTGTTAAACTGGAACATCGGGAGGAAATTGCAGTTGTCTTGTGAAGCATCCAACTCTTTTAACTTTCCATTCATATTAAGAGAGAAAACTGAGAACACTTTACCTTTGCGACAAGCATCTGCTGCTGAGCCTCGATTTGCTGCTGCTGCCGGGTGGCCATCTCCTGCAGCTCTGACAGCGTGAGCTCAACGCGCTGATTCCCCACACACACACACACACACACACACACACACACACACACACACACACACACACACACACACACACACACACACACGCAAGAAGTGTTAAACAAAACACTGAAATCTGCACGGTGATGGCTGATACAGAAGCATTTTTATACATTTCCATCAGTAATTGCTTGTTGGGAGCTTCCATACTATGAAATGCGGGTGAAAGGCTGCGTTCACGAGGAGGAAAACTCATTTCAATGGTAATATTGTACGATGAGCTTAAAGAAAGGTTAGCCACTGGTCTTCCTCACGCAATTTGGCAGAACAACAACATTCAGTTGCGAGTTAAATCTGTGAACACTTCAATTTCAGTATCAGCAGTACAGATAATATCTAAATGGTGGTTGGGAGCCGGAGGAGCAGCCGTCGCTCTTCACTGCTCTATAGATCCATACGTGGCTGGAATGGAGAGCAATACATGAGACATTATCATGTAGATAAAATAATCATCAGGATTATAATTTTGAATGTTATTATTCATGATTAACACTTGCGTGATAATGTTCTGAAGAGCAAAGAACTTTGTAAGAGCACAATATTTGATTTTGATCGGGAGGGAAAACAAAACAAAAAAAAAGACCTAAGGGTCCATCAGCTCATCAACATTAACTGCAGATTAAGAGATAATAGAAATAATCATCCTCATCTAATTGACATTAACATATATAGAGCAATGAATACAATCAGTCATTAATGAATAATATTTTCATGATTTCATTGAATGAGAAAGTGTCCACACACTTTCTTGCTAGAAAACACCATTAGGCTAAAGATTCCTATTTTGTCGACTCACTCGGGAGTAAATGAGACATCTGAATACCGCCGAAACTCTGTCATCATCAAGTCTGCGTGCTAAAATGTGACATTAAAATATATCGATTGTGATGGTGTGATCGTGGAAGCGCTCCCTCGAGGCACCTCTGCTCTTTACGAGGCAGCGTCCTCTCCAAAGGATGAAGCCCATGGATGGGGCGGTGGGGGGGGGTGAAAGGGGGGTTGGGCAGCAGCCCTGGAAAATCCGACGCAGTGATCCTCTTAGGGCCCGTTATGTCATCCGGCGGGCCGACAGATATAATCCGCTAAATCGGATATTAGGAAAAAAAAAAAAAACTCAACTGGGCCTCGGCGCTGTGGAAGCTGAGCAGAGTCGGCGGTGGGAGCTGATAACGTTTGCACCAAAGCAGCGGTAAGTTAGTGGTTCTTGCTTGGTGGAGGTTAATAGGTTTCGAAGAGTTGAACAGTAGCCAATTTCAAGAATCGTAAAACTATAACCGTGTGATGCTTCCTGACAGGGTCAAAACCGGTTTTACTGGATAATAGCAAGAATGGCTTCGGGGTGCTTTTGTGCTACAGCCCTGCTTTTTAAAAACAAAAACCCTTCCATTTCCTGCTGTGCTGGATTCCTCCCCTCTGCCCTCAAGGTCGAATTAGCTACGATTCCTTGAACGCAACACTTTGCTTTTGTGAAATCTGGGACGGCTGGTCGGAGAGAGAAAGGATGCCACAGGCCGCTCTTACCAGACTCATTCATATCTCCGAGAACACCCATCCCGAAGAGAGAGTTCAACATGCACAACAATGGGGACACCTGAGAGGGAAATGTGGTGTGGAAACGTGGTGCGTCACCAAGGTCCGTGATGTTACCCTCGAACACGCCTAAAACTACTTATATAAGATATATCACGCAGAGCTAATCGTCTAGTGACGATTAGAACAACGTGCCGGGGTTTGGTCAAAGGCAGATGTCAGAATAGCGCGAACAAAACGGCTCTTGGGAATCAGTACTAACGCCGTCTAGCTAAGTAGCTTAAATCTTTAACAGCACAATGGGCCCTCGAAGATTATGAATATTGTTCAGAGCTGAAGACGGGGCGGAGAAAATTTCCTTTTGTTTAAGTAATGATATTGATTTTGTTTCTATTTTCGTCTCTTGTTATCGTTATCCAGTCGTGCACCTACGAGGGACTTTATAATGGCCCGAGGAGCTGGTTCCTTCTGTAAAAGTACATTTCTACTTCAAATAACTTAGATAATACCACTAACAGCCTCACCCCGTTCTCACTGTGCTTCTCTCCAGTGCTTCCACTTCTGCGACTCGTTTGATCCTGAGACTGCTGACTCCCTGCAAAAAGAAAAGAGTCCCCATCACAAACTGGCACACACGCACACACAGGAAACAACCATTGTCAAGAATAGTTTCAGAATTCACTGACGTGATTGCTCATGATAGAAGCGTAGAAACTGGGACAAGCTCTGCTGACTAAAGCCACCTAACTCAAACTCCTTTTTTAGAAATGCTTGATGGAAAGATGAGGGTAGATGATTTAAACACCCCGGGAAGAGATAAGAGATCGAAAGAAAGAAAGAATCCACCGATATCTTGACGGTACCTTTGCTGCAAAAGTACACTTTCTAAATCAGGTATTAAATATGAATCAGACCAGGATTTCATCAGGAGTTTCTCTGCCGCCTGTTAACTTTTTGAGTACTTCCTTTACATGTCGACCTTTGTGCTCTGAGCTCAGTTCAATTCCAGCAGAGTACCTTAATGAGTATCTGGTAACGTGCAGAGCAGGTCTCAGTGAAGGATTCTAAGCTTGGATGCAATTTACACCTGGATTGTTATTCCACCTGAACCCGTATGCAAAAAGAATTCATGTCATACAATGGGAGTGTGTGTTAAATGTTAGATCCTCGTCCAACACGTCTAGTGAATTTGTTTAAACCGGCAGATAAAGCATGACTTACGCTTCACTCAGAGCAGGTTCAATACCAGTAGTGAATAGTTTGCTTTCACCATTTGTAGCATTAGAATAGATGGTGGATACGATGGATTGTATCAGACTGGTGATTTTGAAGAAATACAGAGCATCACACAGTGCAAAAGTCAAAATTCCTTGAAAAATGTAATCATGTAATAATCTGCTTTAAATCTCCATATTTGTTAGAGTTAAGACATTCCGACGCAATATTGTCATTTGGGTCTAACAATTCTTTCTCCTCTTTCAAGCCGACGAACCACATTTCAAGTTCAAGTTTACTGAATTTTGTTCCGAAAGTGACGACAGCAGAAACAACTGAAGCACGATTTAAAAACCTTTAAAACGATTTAAAGACGCTTGGTAAAGCCCTAAATACCAGCGTCCATAGCCGAGCGGCCATGCGGAACAGGTGTCCGCTGTTCCCACGGCAACACTCGACTCCACTCTCCACTCCCTCCCACAGGGAGAGACTACGCAGACCTCCACACAGAGGAGACTTCCAACCACACGCACCTTGATCACTGCTCTCCGTCGGGGAATCTTCGTGCCGCAGGAAGAACTTCACTTCTTGTTTGCGAGGTCCCCATTTCTGTAAATGTTCGTACATCATGTGCTCGAAGGGGATCGCTCGCTCTACGGAGACAGAAAAGTTCAGTTTGTTAAACATATTTCACGTGAAAACAGAGCTCGGGGCACCGTTTAACGCACTTTCTATAGAACTCATTGCCATTACTTTACGCTGTTGTCTGTTGCCAGTGTGTAGGATTTTAGAATGAATATTTTAAAAATGGCGGATGATCCCTGTAAAAAAAACCGGGACCACTGAGATTAGTGAATTGCAACTTTTCTGTGCCGGGCATTTTTATTATTATTTTTTTTTTACATTTCAGGAGGACGGCACTTTGTGAGCACAGCGCGACAAAGGGACAAAGACAGGAGGTTTCAGGGGCAGACAGCCGCATTGTGAGGCGCCAGCCGAGCACGATTGCATAACGCGGGTTAATAAAGCCCTCGGCTTGGACTATTTTCTTTCAACGGGAGAGTGACCCCCTCAGCAAAAAAATGCTGATCACACCGGGTGTGTCAGCACCACTGCGGCGTTTGGCCCAAGTAGGATCAGTTGGGACAGTCCTGTGGGACTGTACCAACACGCAAGTAGATTATTGTAGTGCGACAGTGGCCGTCGTGCTCTTGTGAATACACACATTCGTTCCCTTTGAGGGCGCAGAACTCATGCATTATCCATGGTGTCGCCGTCATTCTCCTCCGGGGAGTCGTGCGCAAACCGCGCTTACCGACTTTCTTCAATGAGGATCATAATTAAATGATCGCGGCATGCAAGCGAAGCGTCGAGCTCAGCGATGATGGAGTTTCACAAACCGGCGCCGCTTCTCACCGTTGCCTCTCCAGACCTCGGCCAGGTGGCAGCCGCTCTCGCCGGGCTCCTTGCAGAACTCGACCACGTCGCGGCACGTCGTTTCCGGGGTGATGGGCACCTCGGTCGCGGCCTGTTCGCCATCGCTGAGGTACACCGTCAGTATCATCTGAAAGAGGAAGATGACGAGAAACATGAAGATACCCTCATATGTTTAAATTAAACATCTCGTAGTGTATTTATGCTGCGAAACAAATAAAAATGAATATATATATATATCGGTGTCTGATGTTGTGGTTAGAGGACAAACAGAGAGAGAGAGGAAAAAAAGAGAAAGGGCCAGTCTGCTGATGAGACATTTTGCTGTCGGCCAGCATCAAAGTGTTACTTTGAGCTGCTGGTGGACTCGTGCCTGTACCTGCCGCGTTCTTGTTTGCCGTGATTACGGCCTGCCGGAGCGTTTAGAGTGAGGCGTAGCAACACAAGCCCCCACATGCTTCTGTATGTGCTCCCATAGAGAAAATACGTTATTATACAATCATCAAGAAACAACTTTTAAAATGGACAAGTTGAGTCATGTCTAAGAAAAGTACATATTCCTAAATGTGAGCGACAGAATGGCTGAACGGAATCGCCTGGAGGCCGGAGGACATGATCGGGAGTTAAATGAACCTCATTCCAAATGTTCAATCTTCAGAGGTCTGCAAGTGCTATCGAGCATTGGAGACGACATCCTCAGCAGGCTAGCAAGGTGAAGAGATAAATGTATACATGACCATTTCATCATGTGCACACCACCGTGGACTTCTTTCGTACAATACAATGAAAACAAGCCAAACTGATTAATATGAACTCCACTATATCGAGTGTGAGAGCACATCCATGGTGTGCTTTTCCAACTGCCAGATTGTTGTCCCCCCCTGGTTCATGTGGCACTCTGGGGGAGTTAAGGTGTGCCTTCCTGTTTCGTGTGGCAGGCTTCACTTTTTGTGTCATTCAATGCGGATAAACAGGAAAGTGAAGAGATCATAAAATAAAGTGCAGGGAGAGCCAGAGAGGAGAACAGGACTAAAACGAGGCCAAGCGTTTGGAGAGATGTTCACAATGACATAAAGGTTTGAAATGAAAGATTATTATTGAGGCCTTGTGCATTTTGGATGAGAGTTCAGCTGGAATCCGGATTCCCAGCGCGCTTTGGACCTTCACCATTCATGCTTAATAGACAACTGAATAATACTAAATGAAACACTACTATGAAAGGCCTCTGCTGACCTGCTCTTGCCATCTAGACACATAAGCAGCACTTTGTTTACACGCGTCTCTCAGTGTCAAACCGGATGAACCCTCCGACTGGGACCCTGCGAAACAGCCCACTAGTGAGTAAAAATAAATAAATAAATAGCTGCATTTCAGGTATTTTACTCATGAATCATTTAGCAGGTGCTCCACGCAGAGTGCGATGGCATTTCATTGGTGCATAACGGTACGCGTGGCCTCGGGGTGCGTTTGTAGCGCTTCAATGATTTTCTGTGCATAATAGTACGACATCTGACTTTAGTCACTGAGCTACGTACACGTTACGACTCCGGGTGTTTCTCCGAGACAAAGTGACTCACCCTTTTCATAATGCAGCTGTGTGATTCATTGACATTTTCTGCAGCAGCCGGACTGAAAAGAGTATAATCACTTGTGCATGGGAGCCTCTGCAATTTAACTCCGCTGATTACGAGTCTGAAAGCTCATATTTTGGCAAACCGCGTATGATGAAACGGTAAACCGGAGCTGTGGCACTTATTCCAAGGCAACGCCGTCCACCCGTCTACAATTTCATGTTGCTGCTCAGAGCGTCGGCCTGTGAGAGCCACCGCAGACGAGTAGATGTCGCTTTATCGGGACCTGGTCTGAAGGAGCCAAAAGGCAGTGACTAGTTATGTCTACATTTTAGTGATAATTACTTTGCTAATCCCCCCCCGGAGATATTGGAGAGCAGCCAGCGGGATAAGACAACATACTACAGGACGGAGAATAGTGAACACAAAACAGCCCAGTGAGGCCATCACTTTGAATACACATACAATTTTGCACCCTACTATTTCACAATAACATGTAATCTAAGAAATTAAATAGCCAAGAAAAAGTTAATAAATATTGTAAAAACAACATCAAATAAAAAACAGTCAGTCACAATCTGCACTCAAAATCAGTTTTTCCTCCTTCAAAACAAACCCTCAAATAATCCATCGTGAGACACACAATACCTTCAAGTAAAAAGCGACTACCAAAAGAGCTGAATGTGTATTCAGAGAAAAGAGAAACTGGCCCCCAGAGAGATACTGACCGCCCTCACTAAGTTGCGTCGGCCCATTGTCTTGGCTCTTTTGACCGCCCTCCGTTTCCTCCTGATCTCCTTCTTTGGCGGCCGGTGGTGCTCCTTCGCCCAAATGGGGTTCTCCTTGGAGATGCTAACGAGGCTGCGCAAAACTATGGTCACGAACCTCTTCATTGTAAGCAATGTCGCTGGCGCAGCCATGCAACTTAATTGCTATGCCATACCGAGCACAGCCTCCGAAAAACCGACAGCGGTGCGCGCGCGCGTCTGAAAACTGCTGCAGAGGAGACTCGGGAGGAAAAAACACTTGCTGTATGTGTAATTCAGGGAGGGAGGGGGCCGGCGAGGGAGAGAGAGCTAGACAGAAACAAACAGTAACAGAGAGAGAGAGGAGGGCGGAGGGGAGGGGAGGGGGGGTGTTCCAGGGTGCTGGATAAGGGTGCCGATAAGTTCTTGAATTGGAAAATTGTCCTCTGGAATTGCCAGTAGCTGCAACGCCAATGACTGCCTGCTAATGAGAATACGCTGGCTACTGGCAAGCAGGTCAGCGCGCGACCATGTGGAGGCAAAGATGGGGGATCTGCCTCATGCGGTCTGTGGGTTTGACAGCGTTTGACCGGAAACACGCATCCATAACGCAACATTTGGCAAGAATGCAATATTGTGGTATGAGACATCGGAACGTGTAGGGTTTCCAGGCTGTATTGTAACGTTGTGTTACAATAAAGCAACACTGGACTGTTCCATTGGTCATTATATCCACGTTACGGATGATCAACACCCAAAATCCCAATGTGTTAATATTTACCAGTCAACCCTACAATATGACTACATTATCTACATCATGGTAATCGTAAAGTATATTGTGATATTGGATTTTCTCGATATCGCCCAGCCCCGGCTACAGTTGGCATCATCCGGACACGGGGGCATTTATCATTTAACTCCTGAGAGGGAGAGGAGAAGAGAGGGGAGGGGATGCTTGGGTGGCCTAATCTCCAGTGAGAGGATTCAGGTCATTTCCTATCACAAGTGCTGTCACTCAAAAACTCACAAAGAGGTTCCCTCGATGAAGAAGAAAGATCCGGCAGGATATTGCTTCTGAGGAGCTAAAACTTTGAAGTGTTTGCAATGAAAAAAAAAAGGATGAACTTTCTCCCAAACGTATTTACTCAGTGAGACGAGCAAAAAAGAAACATTGAACAGTGGATTATGTCCAACCAAACACAAGCGCAAATGTGTGTAACAACAAGGTACCAGGTAATGACGGCAACTAAACACGTCTATCAAGGACGAACATCTTTGAGAGTTCATATTCTTATCGGGATTTGCTTTTTGAGGACTAACAAAATATGAATGCGGACTAAAGCACGGGAACGTATCAGGCTCCTATTCAATGTAATCTGCTGCTTGAAACAAAAGTGTCCCTTTGATTGTAAGCTGACTAATGTGCAGAGAGGAAGTCAAATATTGTATACTTCTTCAACCAATAAGAAAGGACATCCACAGGGTTAAAACCTCATATTTTGAAGGATAAAAGGTCTAACAGTAATAGTAGTATATTAAACCTTTAGTATTTTATAACAAGAGATGTCATATTTAAACCAATAAACCGCCCAGAAACATCAAAAGCGCAATAACATGCAATGTTTACGTTGCCGTTACGTTGTTTAAGTCAAGCTCTGACCCGGCTTCCGCTGCGTGAGATTAATGCTACTCGACAATCTACTCAGCTCAAAAGTTCCCCTTAACAACAGAGCATTAGTGGACGCAGCCACACAGACCTACATCTGCCGCGGTCCCATTGGCTGCCGGAGTCACGCGAGAGCCGGGTGCCGCGCTGCCTGCTCTGCTCCACTGGCTCCTTGACTCTGATGGCTCGTTGGTGCCACGGGGCACAAAACGTCTACAGAGGCTTACGACGCAGTCAGTCCCGAGAGCTCGGGCGGCTGCGAGGGGGGGGGATATGGAGTTACTACCGCGTTAACTCTGTACTCCTGAAAGCTCACAGGTCCTCTGGGAGGTTCGTGTTGACGATAATCAGAAATGTCACCGCGGTGCTTGTATTTTTGAGACGGATGGATGCGAGGCGTTGATGGCGGCGCCGTCACATTTATCCTGCAGTCTGAGATCACGATCCCCTCCCTCAAGGCCAAAAAAATGCAGCGTTCGCTGCAGTTTTCCCAACAATTCACCACGGCGATCTCAGCACAACGGACAACAAAAGAGGTCCCAACAAAGCAGGACTCCTATAGTGTTTCTATTCAGGTATTCGGTTCTCTGCAACGTGCAGCTTCTAGCAAACATTCAGTCACAACAGAAAGTCTGATACTACAAATCATGTGCTATCACCTTGTGGAGAGGCCATGTTAAATTTGCCTTTTCTCATAACTTTATAACCACCAACACAAAGTAAATATACATGACGCAGCTATGGAATGAGGCTGCAGAGATATTGGAATAGTTCACAGATAGAATAAAGCTTTTAGTTCCCAGGAATTGATTTCACTTATAGATTAGCCAAGTGGAGTGGTGTGTGTGCGTGTGCGTGTGTGTGGGTGGGTCAACTGTGCTCTCTATCTTTTTGTCCTAATGTTACATTTTTAGCAAGACGAACCACATGACAAAACCTTCCCATTGTAAATGACCCCCCACCCCCCACAAATGTAACAGAACAAGATTAAAAGCTCTGCAGAGGGTGACACCGGACCGTTCCCACACTGCCACCAACTCACTCAAGGCTCGGATGTTGAAAAAGCACCAGTAAAGCGTGACAACAACTGGGGCAGCAGTTCTGTTCTCACTCACCGGCATCATGTTGGCAGCTGTGGCGGGTCAAGAGGAGCGTCGCATCGGCAGGTTGACTGACGGCCACCGGCGTGTCTCCAGAGGCGGCACCGTGCAGCGGTACCCGTTACACCGTCGGCTATTTGTGGGCTCTGGTTACTCCGACGTTGACAACCGACCGGGCCTCGGTCCTCCCTGTGAAAAAAGGAACACATTGGGAATTACTTTCAGCGCAGCACAACTGAACACTAACGACACGCGACGTCGGGTGCCGTCAGCCTCAAACGTGGGGGTTTAAACGGCCCAGGCGTGGCTCCGCGGAGCCGCGGTTAGCCCGGCGAGGCGACTCGCAGCAAATGGCATTCAGTTATTTGACACTACGGAGGCGGAACACGGGGGTTTATACTCACAAATGTCAGCGGCAGTTCATGGTTTCGCGGAGTAAATACGGTTTACTGTTTTTTTTTTAAAAGGCACGTAGTTAGCCGAACCAGCTTTCTGCCAGCCAGCTAGCGAGCTGTCTGCTGCGGGGTTAGTGGTTAGCCGTTAGCTGGTTTCAGAGGCGGCTAAAGGACGGGGGTGCGCGGCGACCGCTCCGCTTTCGTCGGTCCTTTAGCTCGCGTTGACCGCACGTCGGCGCAAGCCATCGACGGGGAAAAGGGGGTTTCGGGCAGACGACACCGAACACGCGTCTATCCGGCGAGGCTACCTCGTTTTTTACGACAGAAATTGGTCATAGTTAGCAGGCTAGCGGCGCTAGTTGACGAAAAATACAAATAGCTGGAATCCAGTTGTTGACGGTGGGAGGGGCGTGGCTACACCGCAGCAGCCTGCGCGTCACGTCTACGTAGCGTGTCGAGATTCTGACGTCGGCCGTCGAGGAACCACGTTGTCGACGCTTAGTGGGATTTCGCTTTTCTCCAACTGGCACGACGTGACCCAAATCACACGGAGAATCCCTTATTTTTCACATAATTGAGCACGTATCTATCTGGGCGTGGTTGATGGTTACGTCACAATGTAGTTTCCGGTCTTTTATATCTCCCCTAACCTTGGAGGGTAACCAGAGGGCCCTTGTGTTAACAAGTACAAGAGATGATGTAATTTGCTCTGAAGGTTGTATGACAGCGTCTCACAACATACTGTATTGTTCCTGCTTCCTCATTTTTAAATAAGTAATACAAAAGTGTGACTGCTGGTTAATCCCACCGGAGCATGTTGGCTCTCTCCTTCAAACAGAAAGCAAGGCACAGGGATGTCCAGTGGCTCTCAGAAAGAATTTACATTGTTTTCTTTGCCAGCAATGCATCTGGAATTGTTCTTAATTCATCATTTTTCTTTAAAACGATGTTTACAAATATTATATTTTGAGGACCCCCCCCCCCCCCTGCAAACAAACCCTTCAGAGATCTATGCAACCGTTAAGCAACAATATCAGTAAGAAGGAAGGAATAATGGGAGTCATTGTTTTTTAAATTGAGGGCCATTAGGTTCTCTTGGTAATCTTAATATTTGTTTTGTGTTCTCATGATGAATTCTGTGTTTTCCCCTACAGTATTGTTCAGACATTTGTGTAGATGCTGGCAGAGACGAAAAGACACACATTGGGAGCTAGATAAATTAGATTTAATTAAAATATATATACATAATCAACCCAATAAACATTGAATCAATATTGTACAAGTGTGATTAAAAAAAAACATCAATATGTGTTATATGTGAATTTGAATAAATAATAAAACAACTACAAGCTGTAGTCATGTTCTCATTGCGCAACATTATATTTCACAAGGCTACAAATCCATTTGAAAAATAAATTATTGCCAGTGTCACTTCAGAAACAAAGCCCTTTCCCCAACAAATCATCGACCGGAGTGGATGGATGAATAAACATCATTATAACTCATCAACATAAAAAGTTCTAGTCAGTAAGTGAACCGATTTAAAATTGCACTCCAAAAAAGAGGGATGACCAGTTGACATAAACAACAACACTTTAGACTCTTTGCATCTCATCATTTCACTCTGCCGCGAGTCTTCAGCTGAGAAAGCACTTTGTCGACCTGCAACAGAGCGAAACAAGGAACGTGGGCAGTATTCTCAATATTGTGGTTCAGTGTAATTGTGATTGAAAAGTGCTCATTAATTACATTTATACGTCTTCCACTTAAAATGTGTGCGGTGTTGCTTACAAAATAATAATAAGAAAAAGCTGCTGATTAAGAATGTCTGCTGTATGCATTCAGTTTCAATCAAAAGTAATTTTCAGCGGTCTAGACTCATTTGATTGCTACATCAACTTTTTTTCTAGGACATAACTCACTGTGATGAACCAGTGCGTCTGCGGCCCGTATCGTAGCAGCGAGGCGAAGCTCATCTCACTGGCTGGAGCCAGGGCGTGGAGGTGGAGGTGGGGAACAGATGAGAACGGAGGCATGTGAAACCCCATCCTGCAGCGCGGGGTTGAACAGTCCGTGGAAAAACAAACAAATGAAACCATTTAAGCCTAAACACAAGTCACAACTGTTGATGTCGCCTCCTGAGATAAAAGGTTTACCTGACGTCCTCCAGGTCGCTAACTTTGTTCTTCTTCAGTACGCTCCATCCCATTTCTACCATCCGCTCCACTGCCAACAAACAAATTATGTTAAACAGCCTAGAAAAAAAATAACACGGCATATTTACCATGTAGAATGATCACTCATTGCATTATACGAACAGAATATAACATGGATAGTCCCATCCAAAGTTCCAGTGCCTCTGCAGTAGAGTGCATAGACATTCATGTTATTCCTGTTCCACTGGACGGTTTACTGAAATCAGAGAGGACGACGTGACGTCACTGGGATGTTAATGTAGCCTGCAGGGACTCCTTCAATGAATTCACCTCCGAGCTTAGATTACAGGTTTGTATTTACCAGTAAAGCACCAGGGAGCCAACCATGTGACTCCTGAAGAGTGGCCAACATGTGTTTCCTTGTCATCCATAAAACGCTGCTGCCTTCATCGGTGTATACTGAACAACAAACGTCACCGAATACTTTACTGTCTAAGAACAGGACCATTATAAACATGGCAGTCACCGAGAGACACGTCGTCCCCCTGGAGACGTTTGCAGTTGTCGATGTGCGTCCTGGGAACAACAAGGTAATGATGCGTGGCACCGGGCTTCGTGTCACGGAAACAGAGCAGCTCGTCATCCTGCAAAACGAGACAGAGAGACCCAGTGACCCATAGAGAAAGAGAGAGAGAGTTCACGGTTGTTGGAATTCTTCTGATTATACGTATGAACGGGTCGGTGCTTACGCTCAGCAGGATTTCCGTGTCAGTCTGTCGGTCAACTATCCGACAGAAAGGACAGTCTTCGCTCCCGGAAGCGTCCCGAGTCTCCATTTGTGTTTATACGTGCGTGTGAATTCACCTGGACGCTCATAAGTGTAAAGTTCAGTCTGGATAACGATGAAGTCTGGGCGTGTCCGCAGGACAACAAGCCGCTGACCGAGCCGATCGATGCGGTCAGGACGACAAGCCGCTGATCGAGCTAATCGATGCGGTCAGGGCAACAAGCCGCTGACCGAGCGCAGTCTACGGTGGTCCGCTGCTGCGTTTAAGCCTGGGAACCCCGTAAATTCTCAACTATTCAATATGTAACTATTTGTACACATCTTTGTTTTCACACTTAGCTCGTATGAAAAATGAAATTCTTGATTAAATGATTTTTGGGGAGAAATAACTCACAAAAGTACAAGGAAGAGGGTCCACTAAATTTTTGTGTTTTTTCTATATTTCAAAGAATTTCTTAACCAGACACAGTAACTTCCTGGATAAGCTGCTGGTTACTTGGAAACTCGAAACTGTATTAACAACATCTCATAGAGAAAATAAGGCCACCATACTTTTCCAACTAATAATACAATACAGTTATCCTCTCTTATTTTGCAGGATGTCTTTTGTAACAATAAACACAAATGATATTCAATCCCTAATGGACACACTGTATATACACACATGTACAAAGATTTCAGCAAAAATTTAAATTTAAAGAAAAATCACAACACACTTATATACACAGAATGGTGTTCAATTGAGTCAATCCATTGTTTTCACAAATCACTGATCATCAAAGTGCAATTCATTTTGCAACGTGAAACTTAATATACAGTCGTCCACACAAAGTCCACAACAAACCGTGTGTAGTCAGCAGTCTACGGTAACATCTCAATGCAACAATTTTCCTTTCATTACTTATTCATTTGTACGCTTCGTTATCTCATTCGTTGAAAAGACTTCCAAATAATGTTCTTCCCAGACGAACGCATATAACGTTGTCATCGCAATAGCGTCTCATAATGTTGGACAACAAGAATCTTTGAACGGTGAAGTATTATCCTTCAGTTGCTTCCGAAGACATTCTTCCTGTAAAGAGACAAAACTTTCATTTGGATGTGGCAACATAATGGCGTTAAAAGGTCCAAAGCAGAAAGCCACTGGATGTCTTTTAGTAACTAAATTCTGATTCCTGATCTGATTGTACAGATGTTTGTTTTATCTCAGTAGTTTACAATAACAAAATAAGAAAAAGTGACAACATTAACAGCAACAACAATATAATTAGAGACAAAGTGAAAGAGGGAGCAAGAAAGGGGGCATTTTCTAGTCCTGGACACTCACAGTAACAAACCTGTAGGAATTTGGAATGAATTTATACTCCATGTCCTCGTAGATTTGGCTGGCGGGGGCGAGTACATGGAGGTGGAGGTGAGCAACTGAAGTGTAGGGAGGTTGGTGGAACCCCAGGCTGCGAAGGAGAACACATCAATGCAATGTGTGCACACTGGCGAGCAAGACTAAGTACAGTTTTAGACTTTCCCATTACTGAAAAACCACTCCTCAGCAAATAGCAGACTTTCTGGTGGAGGTTTTCGTCAAACTAATCGTTCGTACTTTGCTCGTGTTAATTGAAGGGCACACTGTCTTCATCTACCTTATGTCCTTCACATCAGAGATCCCTTGGTCGTGTAGTACAGCCATTCCCATTTTAGCCATCATTTTAACTGTTGGATACAACACTCAGTTATTTCCTTGCAAAGATCTGACTTTGTAAAAGTTAAAGAGGTGTAAATATACTTCATTGAACCGAAGCTGTTGAAGAAGAAACATGAATAAAGATGCTATTGTAGATGTAGATTTAAAGGTAGTTTCAGCAGCAGTGCTGGTTATAGTACTTGTGGTGACCCACAGTAGCAATACAAGTAGTTGCAGGAGTATTAGCAGCCGGATCGCTGGCATTTGCAGTACTTATACCGGTTGGCAGTGACCCACTGTAACTGACCGAGGTCCACGTGTCCTGCGTGCAGCGAGAGGCAGTCGCGTATGTGTTCTTTGGGTACAACCAGGTAATGGTGAGGAGCAGCCGGGACAATGTCTCTGAAACACACCAGCTCCTTGTTCTGTCCGAAGGGATGGAGATATTTAGAGACGAAACACACACACACACACACACACACTGACCTGCAGGGTCTGTGCCTGCAGTGGTGTCCAAACTCGTGGATGTACAGTGTGTAAGTGTTGGCAGCACACAGTTTGGACTATTAGGTGTAATCACCATGTTGTGTTCATGAAGGCACTTCCTCTTCCACTTTGTGGTAAGAAAGTTGTCACAGGGAGGGAGACTTTATCCCACAATAATCACCGTAATAGGAATGCATCTAGCTGCCTGCCAAACTAAGTAACCCCGCCTTTAAGTCTATTTTACCTGGATTCAGCTCATTCTTAATTGTCTAGAAGTAATGTATTTTTGCTCGCACTGCATTTTAACCCCCCTCACTCTCCATTAAGTAGAGTTTCTGAACTACAATCTAACATATTATGGTCGGTTTACTTCAAGCTGAAAGCGCCAGTAGAATCAAGTTATTACTATGTAATATACGTTAAATAACAGCGGAGACACGTCTTACATTTGACCCGCAGTGTCCGACACAACACAATACGATTAGATGAGGTAACGCCTTCTATGGTGGGATTCTCTTCCAGGCGGCTACTTACCTCTTTGATAACTTCCGTGTTTTTGTCTTGGCCTTTGGATATTAAACAGAAAATACAAGTTTCCGTACTTGGATCGGAGTTGAGTTCCGTCATATTTACGATACAGGTTTTAAATGCATGTTATTTCCTCCTCGACTCGCTGTTTTAGGAACATTATACGTGGTGAACGTGCCCAAGATCGTCTATTCATGCAAAGAAAGTTTACTGGATTTAATTTCCCCGAGTCGTCCCGTGAAACATCGTATGAACTACACTACTCTATTTGACTGTCTTTTTAAAAAAACATTAACGCTATTTGAAGCATTTTCTCACCTTTTAATGAACGGAGAAGAAAAAGAAAAGAAAAAAATAAGTTTGTATTTTTTTTCTGATCTTAACTGCTACAGAAAATACATAATAGCCAGTGTACTGATCTCTAAGGTCGTAACCTTTTAAATACTTTAACATTCAAAATGAAGCCGTAAAGGCTTGAATAGGGCAGTGCTTGCTCTACAAATATTTACAAAATATAGCAATTTAACTCCAACTAATTGTTTTGTTCTTTTTACGACTTTTTACATTTAGTACGTACACGATGCACTGTTAACAAGTTTAGATATGTAAGACAATATACTAATGCCACGATAATAACATATAATCTGTCAGAAATACAATGAGATTTAATATAGAGATACATTTAAGGTGAACAATTCAAACTGAAGTGCTTAAAATTAGAGGTGGAGTGAAACTTTTATCCATTTATTAATATGCAATCATATAATCAATCATAACACGAATATATTCAGGAAAACAAACCTTAATAAAGATGTGGAGATACACATTTGAAACACAACCCATTATGTGTATATATATATATTCAACATTTATTTAAGTTTAAAGGTGTTTGCTATGACAACACAATAAATAAATCCTTTGTGATAACACAGCAGTTTTGGATTCACAAGAAATAATACTCTGGGAGCATTCACAGTAACAGCACAAGACATCAAGCGCTAACTGGCATCGGTGAATAGTACGACAGGTATCATATCAGTGGCGTCACTCATGCCGTCTTGCATATTCATGCACCACAAGCCTGTACCAGATATAGACGAAGATTTCCTTTCAGTGTTAGAAGATCTGAACTAGTAGTTAGTGGCAAAGTGTAAAAACAAACCGTCCATTTTACACCCGCTTTGAAAGTAAAGCAGAGGCTGACATGTGGCTGGACAGGAAGTGTCACTCCTGAAGAGGCGATCGCGTAACATTCAGTAACTATTTGACATCGAAGCGACGCTCGATTACACCAGGCGTCAATGCGGCTTTGACCGTTGATTACTCTTGTAGTGCAAAGTGACGTCACGTTGAACCTCTACTGGCTCTCTGAACGAAAAAAACGACCTCGGGTGAAAACAAAAGGAGAAACAATCAGCCGACGTGAGATTTGAATTCCAAAAGTGACAAACAGTCATCAATAGTGCTTATTGGGTCCGATCAGAAACCAAAACGTCCAACGCAACATTTCTATAAAAGTACAACCGTTTAAAAAATAAACACAACTGAGCATTCTTTGTAAAAAACAGAATGTAAAAAAAAGAAAAAAAAGAAGCTAAAATATTTTATCAAATATAATGAGCTTAAACAACCGTGAAATTCAAACACAACATATTTGGTCATCGCAAACCTGGCTTTACTGCTTGTTTTAGAGAATATGGGGGATCAAAACAAAAAATAGTTGTGAGGAAATGCAATGGAACATTCTTATTCAGGTTGTCTAAAACTCGAAGGAGGGAGAACAGGATTCCTCAGAGGAAGTGCAGGACCTCCATTGTAAACAACATTTCCCTTTATGAAAGCTTATGTGATGGTCCGAGGATCCCCCCAAAAATTCTCCCTGACAAACTCCACTTCCTTTAACTTGAAAAAATTCACTAGATTGTAAAAATCATTAAAAAAAGATTGCAAACTTCACTTTGTCATCTGCACATAACCCTGTCATTTACCAAAGGTACTTAGTCAGTTTTCTGCAAAAAAACAAAAACAAATGCACTATGGGATACCTTGTTCTTTCGCACAGACTGAAAATATTTTTCGGGATGACCTCCGCCGCCTTCTTCTCCATTTCTTTCTCTCTCTTATGAGCTAATGGCAGTCTGGGGGCGGGGTTGAAGCCGTAGGGGGAGCTGGAGGTTGAATGCGGGAGTAGCCGGGGGGCAGGCAGGGCTACTCAAAGGTCCAGACCTCCACGCTGTGGATGTTGAAGTCCTGCCGGACGGAGAGCGGCTGGTTGTTGAAGGTGGCACACTTGGTGGTGGTCCCTCGGTACAGCTCGGAGTCCAGCCACAGACCCAGCTGCCCCCTGCAGGGGAGGGAGGGGGTTAGAAAGCGAGAAAACAGCTGGACGATAACCGTTTGTTTGGATTGTACAGAACACTGAAGATAGTGCTTGGTTAACTTACCCTCCTCCTCCCATCTGTAGAGAATCAGTGTTTCCCTTCACGAAGTACGAGTTCTCCCCCGTCCAGCGGTACACCTGAAGATCAAAAGGAGAAAACGACGGTGCGATGATGTTGCCATCTGTGGAACAGCAACCGAGTTCCAAAACTAACTTGATTCAAACCTTGATCTCAGGACAGAAGCTGTAGAGGAACGTCTCCCCCGTGCCGTAGCAGTGCTCGCTGACTCTGAAGGGATGCGTCGAGAAAGCCCCAAATACCTGCGACGAGAATCAGGTTCAGATGAAGAATGAAGGGAAGAGATGGAAGGGGGGGGGGCGCGCGGTTATCCACCTGGTTATCCATGTCTTTGACTACCAGCAGCACGGGGCCGTCCACGTCCACCAGGCTCCTGTACAGAGTCTTCAGGCTGGTCCCGTTTCTCCCGGTGCTGTAGGCCAGGCTCCAGGGGTAGATCTGCACGCGGGGCGGCAAGCGACTGGCCAGCTGGGCGGGCGGGAGAGGGGTGGGGGGGGCGAACACATGGTCAATGGCTGCCTTTGTTTGGGCAGTGAGAGGAGGAGCAGTTGCGTTAAACGGCACGTTACCTTCTCAACGTGTGCGTCCTGCAGCAGGTCGCTCGTATCTCGGAGCACGGGCAGCGCGTCCGCCGACAGTTCTCCGTCACAGCTGCTGAAACTCTGCCTGCGCTTGGCCTCATCAATGGTGATGATCTTGGAGCAAAAAACACCAATTGATCAATTGAAGGGAATCAATGTTACCAAACAGGCAATTAAGCTCATTTTAAAAGTTTTAAAAACGTGCCATGATAGTAAATCGACGCCGTCTCTGCTCACCTCCCAGCTGCAAGACGCGGGGTCGCTGAAGAAGTTGTCAATCATGTCCAGCTCATCTTTCTCCACCACAACAAAGCCCTGCTCTCGAGCCTCCCTCCCGTACACATCGGGGGACCACTGGACGAAAAATGCATACAGTTGTTCCACCCTGGAACACACACACACACACACACACACACACACACACACACACACACACACACAGGATTGGTCAAAAGCCCACGCTAGCTTACACAAGAGGAGGCTCCGAGTCTCATCCGTCCCCGTCTCACCTCTCTTGCGGCACAGCGAACCAGTACTCCTGTTTGCCCCGGCCCCCAAGTGAGTGGGCGGGGCTAAGGGTTCTCCCCGTTGCAAAGGACTTCCTCATCGGCTTCCCCACTTTGAAGCACAGGAACATGGGTGGGATTTTACTCTTCTCCTCTGATGAGAAAAGCATGTCTACAGAGAAAAAGGAACATATTCAATCAGAGAAATTATTATTTTAATGCTACACTATTTGCAGCTCTTTGAGCCCTGAACTATTCATACTGTAGACATATTCATAAAATCTTCTTACACACATTTGTAATATTTACATTTGTGATATTTATCATGTAAAAAGCCCAGTAGCTACAATAATCAGCCTGCGGGTTTAATGCATGATGCTCACCTTCTATTGGCGCCTGCATCTTCTCCAGCAGCCATGACTTCACTTCTGCCTTATAGCTTTTCTTCCGCCTCTCCTCCTCACTGAGCTCGGCGCCCCCTGCTGGTGTGTCCGGGCTCTGTTTGGCCAGATTACACTCGGAGGCCTCCTTCAGACGCGACCTCACGTTTTGGTCGACCGGTGCACCTTTCAGCAGCTCCTCGGTCCCTGCGGGTTTCAAGTCTTTGGTTTCCTTGTCTCCCGTCTTTTCAGCCTCCCGTATCGCCTCCGCGTCCTCAACGGAGCCGTTCTGAGCGACGCCCTCGTCCTCTTCGTCGGCGGCGAGCTTCACTTTTGCCTGAGCGGGACTCGTCTGGTCTTCAATCTCTCCCTGGACCGGTCCCGGGGTGGGTCGGTCCCCGCTGACGACGGCGCGCGTTTTGGTGGAGGTCCCCTCGGCCTCTTCGTCCACAGCTGGCTCCAACTCTGTGAATCCTTCATCTGAAGGAGACTTCTCTGTCTGCTCGCCGTCTGGTGAAAAATGAACAGTTATTCGTGTGACATTAAAACAGGACGTTTGCATTAATAATCAGGCTGCACGGGTCCCTTTTAATTGATTTAATATTTGGATTCTAAAAAGAATAGAAAATAAAAGTGGAAAGGCTTGTGGAAGAAATCTAGAGAGATGAGAGAGAGTTGTAACTATTGGTTACAAGTTGCTATAAGTTGAATTTAAAAGTTCACAAACTACTTTTCATAAAGAAATGAATGACAAAAACACTATTTGCGCTTTCTGTAAATGGCTACGGTACAAAGAATGACTTCATTTATTGCTGCGGTCAAGAAGAGGCAGAAGGCGACTACGGTCGAGAGAACACGGGATGTTACCGGGTCCAGGGAGGGTCGTCTCGATGTCATCCAACACGATTGACCTCCTCGGGTCGAGAGCTTCGTAGCGGCTGAAGCGGTTCAGGTCCCGCTCCGACGGCAGTTGCTCCCACTCGCCGGGCCTGTACACAGGACATAAATCCCGGGGTAGGTCTCTGTGGGGGTCACGGGACATCGCACAAACCGCACCGCAAACCAGGATGAGAATGAAAAGAGGAAACAAAAACAGAAAAAGAAAATCCAAACTGAAATTATAAATGACCACAATGATAAAAAAAGACAATGTGATGCAAAACAGCAAATGAAGACAAACAAACACTAAAGCAACTAGAGATGCGAAGCAAGAACAAGAAAAGATCCAGCGGAAACAAAAGGTGCTTCATCAAAGAAAAGGATGCGTCCTGTGAATGCAAAGGGCTTCGAACCGTTTGATTCATGAATGGAAACGGGAAGGAAGGAACAAGGGAGGAGGAATCAGTGCCGAGGTCTAGAAGGGGGAACCGCTGCCGAGGCGGGAAACGGGGCGGGCGAGGCGGTTCGGTACGGGCGGTCTTACGATGGCAGGGCGTCTTTGAGCTTCATGCGGGACACGTCGTCGTACAGCGCCACGGAGACGACCTCCTCCATGGGGCAGATGAGGCCGTACTCCTCGCAGCCGTGCTCGATCACCAGGGGGTCGGACTTGTGGGGGTCGAACATGATGTTGTTGGGGGTCACGATCAGCACGCCGCCCACGACTCCCTGCGAGAGAGAGAGAGAGAGAGAGAGACAGCGCGTTGCTCAGGGGTCCAACGACAATCGCGAGCGCGGTAACCGCTGAAAAGACAACGTCCTGTCGAGTACGTCAAGGGTCATTACCATGCCATCGGTGAAATATTTGCAGCTCATCTTGATGAACTTAACGGTTGCCGGGCTCTCGTCCTCGGAGGTTGGGGACAGCTGCCGCCGGAGGGACGCGCGGTCCTGCAGGGAGTCAAAAGTCTTACTTTGTGGCACCTGAGGATTTTGGACGACGCAACCCGGCGAATGGCTCTTTACTCACATGCGTCGCTTTCTCCGACGGGCCATTCGTGACGCAGGGATCAGAGGAACTCGGAGGCTTCAGGTCAGCTTCTGCCCGGCTCACATCGGGCACGAACAGCTTCTGTAACGACGACGATGGCGGTGGTGACGACGGTCAGAAAGTCGCAGGAATAAAACGCGAAGCGGAGGTTGGCGTCGCTGCCGAGGCGCTCACCTGACCGGGGTAGACGCTGCGGGAGAAGAGCTTGTTCAGCTGGACCAGTTTGTTCGGGGTGACGTTGAACTTGAGCGCGATGCTGGCGAGCGAGTCGTCGGGTCCCACCTGGGACGAGAGAATGCGGCGCGTCTTCAACCGTTCTGCTAAAGAGGTTTTATTGGGTTCTTCGAGGGCATTTTCACCGCAGTTTTACTCACGATGAACTCCACCGTCCCCGGCGGTCTCTTCTTCTCCCTCTTTGCCTGAATGGTACTTTTACAGCCATCGTCTGGAAGGGACGCACAGGAAGGAAAAACAACATATAGGGAATAATTTCATTTGGTAAAATAAACTGTTATTTTTGTGAGAGGGAAATATGCGGCCTTATTCTAAAATCTACTCACAGATGCAATTAAACATGAAAACGCCACGTCCAAAGAGATCACGTGAGGTTTGTCCCTTATCATTACCCAGCCTTAAAACACTGGCCCACACACGCTGAAGCAGTTATCATAAACACACACACACCCATAATCTGACCCTTGTAGTAAACGTTAGAGACGAGGCGGCTGCTCGTTCGTCTCATCTGCGCTGCGTCGGGTAACACGCTGGGACGCCCTGCAGGCGACGGACTGGCAGCGCGTATGGGATGAAAGCGTATATGACCTAAAAGGCCTTCGTTTCGTCTGTGTGTGCTGCAGAAAACGTTATTGAAAATACATCCTGCCGAGTTTACACAGCTGTCTGAACCGCTGCACGCATGACTATGGTCAATTATTGGTCAACATGAAGGAGGTTGGGGGGGATTTGGGTTGCAAACAAACCCAGAGACACATGACAGCCTGATATATAATCTGGTATACACTCAATGCAGAATAGGTTATGTGTATTGTTGTGCAAATGTGAAGATACAGTATACATACTAGCTTACTTGTTGATCATAACAAATCATTTATTTTGAGTTATTTCTTAATAAATTCAATAGATTTGCTTTCACATGCAAGAGTCACAATAGCAGCAGAAATGAAGAGCTCCACAGACTGTTATTCAACACAAGCATGGGGCAAAAAGGTTACCCAACTTCCTGTCAAAAAAGTGCTGAGGTTGAAATAAAGAGCTTGAGGAACATCGCCAGGAAACAAAAAGCCTGATTTCTCCTGGAGCGTTGATAGAAATCTGCTTTGCACTTCTCTGTGTAGGATTTATTCACTGCTAGTTAACAATTACACCCGAGTCCGATTAGAATTGCCATAACAGTGGACCATGACTATAATATTTATAACTCGTTGGGACTTCACCCAAGTGATTGCCTCGGGGTTGTATGGACGGGAGAGTCCTGATCGGATCCTACAGAGTCCTCCTCAAACCCGCCGGAGGAGACCCGTACCCAGGGCCCAGTTCTGGAGTGCGCAAACGTACGTTATTAAGAAAAGGTCTTACCCGAGGCCGTTATTCTCTGCACGTCTGCGTTTTTGTTGGGGTCCTTGTCGCTCGGGACGTCTGGACAGGAAATCACCGCCGGGTTCGGCTCAGTGGCGTTCTTCTCCGACTGGCCGTGCTTGAGCTGCCTCCGCCTCTTCAGCCTGACGACGATGAATAAAGAAACAGGAGTGAGGAAGGCTGTTTGTTTTCGTGTTCGTCAGGTTGGCTTGATACACTTCGTGGGGCGAGGAGGCGTAAAACAGAGAGGAGGGTCTCCTGACTGTCACCTACAGACACACAGCCCAGAACCCCGACAAAGAGACTTTGACACCATACAACGACAAAGAGCGGATAACTGTCTGTTTGCATGTCTGTGCACAGGGGCCTTTGGCTCAGAATGGTCCCGTTTACATGCTTTTGTGATTGAATATCAACTTGTTATCTTCCACAATGCTTGTTGTCGATATCAACACGTCGCCCGTTGCACAGCTTTGCTCGAGTTGCTGCCCTTGTGCTCAAAAGTTTCGACTTCCCGCTTTCTTCACTTTGTTGCGTCAGCGGTATTCTCCCCTCACACTGTACTTTAACCCCCGTTGAATCGCTGATAGTGGAGGCGATGACGTAATGGCCTATCCAGGCCCGGCTGAGAGTTCCCGTGAGTGTCGATACATGCGTTTGTTCAGAGATAAGATAGAACCAAATTGATTTCTCGTGGTCTTGGAGTGACAGCGGGGCAGTTCTGCCCTGCAAAAAGCAAAAAAAGCGAAACAGAAGTGCTTCAAGTGTGCAGGAGGGTAAATGGAGAGGCAGGAGCGGGTCGATAAGGCTGCAGACGGACAGCGTCCAGGCGTCTCCCGTGGCCTCGGGTCGCTCTCACACTTTACCCGAGCGGAACACATCTGGCAGCGATGAACTCAACAATCTGCACCAGACGGTCTCGACCGCAAAGCCTCTTCCTCTTCACTTTTGTGTTTGTAAGCAGTGAAAAGTGAAAAATAAGAAAACTAAATGCACACATGACACCACTGATTCCATTAACAATCCCACCACTGGAGACAAAAGGCGCATTTGGTAGCAAGAGGGATTTTTTTGTTTCGCAATATGAATGTTGCCAAAGGATTAATGTTGTAATGAGTTCAGATTGACGTGGTGCGCAGCTTTGATGTAATCTTATTAGTCAGTGCTGCGTTGCTGTTGTAACTTTATTGTTGTGGTTGAATGAACAAATAGTACAAACATACTTTGTTTCAATATGAATTAAGTAAGAGTCACGTTTTCCTACTTTTGGAAAATGCCGGCCAGGATTCTCAACGGTGGGGTTGAAGGGTGAAAACACCACACTATTGATATTTCATGTGCCTCCATCTTAATTAGAGCTGCCACGAGACTATTGGAGGCCTTAATCACCCGTCTACGTGCACAGCCGGCTCTCGGCTGATTTTAGGCATTTTGTATCACTCACCTTTGCACTTATTGTATCCGCGGCTGTTTTAAGAGTCAAACTTGCTGCACATTTACTCGGGATCTCCGATCCTACGTGAAGGTTTTTCTTTGTAAAACAGGCTTGTGCTTGTTGTTGACACACACGTGTCTGTGTGCGTGCACTCTGTCGCGAAGCGAGGCAGCGTAACGGGACAGCGAGCGGGAGAGACACGCGTTCAGAGAGAAGGCCGACGTTACTGACACGTTCCGCCGTCTGTTCTGGTTCTCTCTCGTCACTCGTCTCTCCCCTTTCTACTGTTCACGCCGGCCGTGCACACCGCGCCGTGCAGGAAAAATGCCCCAAAAAAAACTAATGGTGGAACATTTCCAACATAAGGCAAACAAAAGATGTAAAGAGAAATCAATGAAACAGAAGACAAATTGCAGGGTTGCACCAGGCTGTCAGCTTGGCCTGAACAAGTAACCGAAGACGCAATAAGAACATGAAAGCCATTAGGCCTTCACTGCATTACCTCACATCATCCATCACAAGCTCACTCAACAACTCCCCATACGACTTCTGCTTATCCATCGATTAACACCGTGATCCATTTTAGGTTTACTTTGGCCTTTATTTGCTTGTTTGTCAATCTCTCCGGCTGCAGATATGTAGAAGAACCAGCAGGAATACACGCAGTGAACGCACACCATTCGATTCAATTATTGGCAGAGGTTGTTAATAATTGGATCACGCAGTTCTATGCGAGGTCTCATCCGATGTCACAATGAAAGAGCTGATCTTTGGTCAAAACTTGCAGATTCCTGCTCTCCTGTTTTTCCAATGTTGGTTTGAAAAACGACTAATCCTTCGTTAGTTCATCTACGTAGCAGATTGCTGATGTACAAAACGTCCCAGCTGACAACGTCCCTCCCAACAAGCAACTGGGAAGATCTTCACCTCTCAATCAAGCGTCTGATACCTGGAGTTGTCGGAGTTGAAGCGATAAGGGAGTATAAAAATAGGTAAGTTGTGACTGTCGGATTCTTAAACCAAATCGAAGATTGCATCTTCAGGTAGACGCCATGTTATCGCACAGACAGATCAAAAAAGGTCAATATTAGCTGGTAACATCTGAGATGAAAGCAAGAAACATGCTGAATGCTGCCCGATAGATTGAAGAGCTGCTTACCTGGCAAAATATCCCGGCTTCCTGTCCCTCTTTTCCATCGGGCCAGGGTCCTAAATGTGCACGCAGAACAAGCGCATCGATGCCAACAGCAGCCCTCACACACACACAGCCCGCTCAGTGCGTCCAAGCCGGCAGACCTCGGGGGGGAAATCACCTCTCACGCTTCTTCCTTGTCCTGCAGAGGAAATGAGAAGAGGGGGATTAGCGGGCCGGCCCTCCTCACTCAACAACATTCACTTCAATGCAAAAATCCGATAACTGCTGGTGAAAGCTAATCAGACTAAAAGGGGGGGGGAGGCATGTCAGGCTATTCAGAACACGCTTTAACTATCAGGACGGGGAATGAGGAGAGACGGTTTAATGTCGCCACAGCACCCCCCCACAAGTTTCTGTTATGATATAAACACGCTGCTTTACGATAGTATTGCAATCAGCTGCATCTGTTTGGGGGGAAAAAGCAGGATTAAACAACGGGATTAACTAGTGACATGAATAAAAACAAAAACAAACTATCAGTGACGTGCGCGCGTGTCGCACACCCTTAAAACAGGAATCCGGCAAATACGCCGAAAGGGGGTCACGGCTCAGGTGAGCGGCTACAACCAGGTTACATGCGAGGAAACGTCACCCCGCTTTACAGCTGCGTCCTCCAGCTCGCAGAAGGACTCCTCGGTGTTCCTCCGAGCGGGGGACGGATATTTGAGCCCGTCCTTAATGTGCAGATGTGACACAAAAAAAAAAAAAAAACAGCCCCTGAGCGAATGTTGAATCGGTATGTTCGACCGCGCCAGGTCTGCGCAAACAGTGGCACAGTGTGCAAGGTCCAGATTCCAGATCAGCTGGTGCTAACCAGCTAGCCACGTTGTTTACTGGACAATAGCAACCTGGGGGGTGGCAAAGGCTGTTTTCATAACGTTGCATCTCTTAAAATAAAAGGGACTTTACCGCCTTCGTGTTTGTGCGAGGTCGACTAACGGCGACGCGCAACGCGGATGTACAACGACGCATTCACACGCTAAATCAGAAATAGGAGGCTAAAATTGCCCACTTACCTTGCGTGCATCCTCGGAGCAGCTAACGGATCAAAATGAAGCTCCTCTTCACGACGCCCTCTGGTGTTTTAAACCCACCACTAGCTTATCTTTATCAGAGACGGGATGAAAGCTAATTCTCGTTAGCTATAGCTAATTTCCGGTCAATTTTAGCTAAATAACTGAATCCTGGTGGAATTTACACTACCGAATATGGTAAAGCAATAAAAATGTATACCAACACCGTTTATTTATTACTACAAGGCGTGAGCGCGGTAACAGTCCCTGGTGGTCTAGTGGTTAGGATTCGGCGCTCTCACCGCCGCGGCCCGGGTTCGATTCCCGGTCAGGGAACTGCTCTTTTTTTGCTAGCCCGTAGAAATTCGTTCTAATCTTTATAGTGTACCGATCAAAATCACATATTAACACGTGTAAGTTGGTTTATCCATTGAAAAAAAGATATGTCAGTCTCTTGAAATGTACTTTTCTTTGCAATGAAAACGTTCACCGCTTGGTGGCGACAGTTTACAACAAAAAACTACATATATAAAACACGTTGCGTATTATAACAACGTTTAAGGCAAGAACCCTGTAATATACATGTTTTCTTCCATTACAGGTTAAAAATAACAAAAGGAACAACATGTGCCGTATAAGCAAAGAATAATACAAGTAAACAGTTTCATACAGAGAAGACTTGAGGTGATGGTGCAATAATTAAAGTTTTCTATAATGTGTTTGTTGTTTTGTGTAATGTCTTCAGTTTGCACATATCCCACAACAAATATGTAAATATAAATATAATACAGCTAATATAGCAAGCATCTAATATCTTAAATACAATCAAGATATAAATAGAATGTAGTGATAATAACCACTCACTCCTTTCATTAAAGCCCATTTGAAGTGAACTGGTTTGAGATAGAGACATTGAGATAATGTGTGTTTGTGGAGCTTGCGTTCAAGAGGTGGGACAGACGCAGACCCCCGCTGCAGGCCCTCTGATTGGTCAAGGCCGGAATTAACCAGTTCCTGGCTGGCTATGTATCTTTGCAGTTATTTTGACAGGCGTTATCATTGTGAGAGAGGAGATAAGTTGTCTTAGGGATCGCCATGGCGCCTGTGTGTCCCTCCTCTGTCCTGCTCAGACTCCAATCGACCCCTCTCCGCCCCCTCCGCTCTCCCTACCCTGCTCGGAGCACAGGATTGTGGGGAACATTTTGCTTGGAAGCCGGGGTTTTTATTGGCAGGGACCCCGGGGCTCTGGGTATCATCGAGGCCCTTTAGGACCCCAGAGCAAATGGACATAGATGTCCACCACCCAAATGTCTTAACCATGCTCTCGCTTGCTCTTTGCACCTTTTGCTCTTTTCTAATATTTTAACTCAAGTTGTGTATTGCAGGGTTATCCTTCTCCTACGTATGCATGTATAATTTCCTGATTTTCTGATTCCTGATTCCTGATAAAAATAATTATCTCAGTCGACATCAACCCGATATCATACCTGGTGCCGTTATCATGTAAGGGAATTTGTTTTAGCCTCTGATAATAGACTTTTTATTGTACCGTTCCGTCAGCGAACACAAACAGATATAGTTTTTTCGGGGGATTTTAATAATCCTGCCACACACACACACACACACACACACACAAACATACAGAGGAATGTTGCAGAGAATGTGAAGAAAAGTGAGGAAAATAAATATTTTATTTTCCAACATTCTTTTGTTATTTCCAGAACATGAGTCTTTTTCGCCACTGAGATGACATATGTGTCATTTTTTCATGCATAAAAGTGCCATCTCCAGTACATCTTTGGCTATTATCACATCTATTTTCTTGGTCTGCTGTTGCAAAAGAAGAGCAAAAGTGGCAGGAAATCAAATTCTTTCTCATTTCACCCAGTCCCTGGATTTGCCGTGTGCGCGCACACAAAGAAACTATCTTGCTTATATCTGCTAGAACTGTTGTGATCTCAGTGGTCTGACCCAGCACCGGCCTTGGAGAGATTTAAAATCATTTTGCTCGGGCGTCACACACTTCTAGCTTAGACTACAGACACTGATAGCTTCAAGTACACTGTGGCAGCAGGAAGCCGCGGAACCTAAACATTGAAAAGCATATGTCACACAAATGATAATTGATAGGAATTATGGGAGCCGTAATTCACTTCTATGAGCCACACCCGGTGAAAAGAAAAGCAGTTTTATTATCCACATCTTTTTTGAGCAGTAAAGGAATTGGGAGGTGAGAGTTGTTCCCTTCGAGGACTGAGAGCCCCCACTTAAGAATCCGTGACGGATGCAACTACTCGGCCAAGTGAATCGGCTCACAAAGCCGGCGTTAGCTGACAGATGTATTCAGTCACCTTTTGTGCCTTCTCAACATTGTTAGGTTTAAATTGCGAAACCACCGCGTAAGGCACCGCCTTCATGACAACAATGAAAAAAGTAGTAAAATGTGAAAAAGAACCCTAAAAACAATTGTACATTTTGGATGCATATTTTTAATCTCTGTAAATGAGAAAAGTTAAATAAGCTTTAAAGGGGAAGGGGGGACAATTATATTTGACCATTTGGCCGAGCCAGGTTAGCGGTTTTGTTTTATGCTAAGCTAAGCTAATTGCCTGTTGATTATAGCTTCATATCTATCATTCGTGATCATGACACTCTGAAAAAACTCTCGGCAAAAAGTCAACGAAACGAAGAACTCAAAAAGAAAAAGAAAAATGCCGTATGACGCATCACAAGCCGCAACCGTTTTGGATGTGATGGAGACACATTTATCTCTCCGTTGGTGGTCCAGCAGAGTAAGTGAAAGACAGACCACCTTCTAGGTTACCATGAGGTTAATGAACCCCAGTCAGCAGAGACAGAGAGGGGAAGGAAAGTGATGGAGACACGGCATAAAACGCCTCCTTACTGTATACCATCCAGGTCCGCTGTCAATCTGCCAAGTCAGCTGAGGCACCACAGCCATGACCTTTGACCCAGCAGTTACACGGCAAGGGGAGGGGAGGTTATCAATGTCGGGGGGGGGTTTATTCTCAAAGTTAAATGTTCCATCGGTGAAGGAGCCTCACCTCGAGGAAGGAGCTTCAGGTAGGAAACCTAAAGGAGCGATGGACACTAAGCACTATATCACCTTCTCAAACACACACAAACACACACACACACACACACACACACACACACACACACAACGCTCATCAGTGTGTTTTTGATCACATGACCATGGTAGGGGGCGCAAACAGTCCATGGTTGTTTACCCTCCTTATCAGTGGTGCTGTAACTAGTAGAGGAACACACACGCTGACCCTAACACACACACACACACACACACACACACACACACACACACACACACACACACACACACACACACACAAGCTTTAAAAACCAAACACAGTAAATGTTCCTTTTTTATTTATATATTTAAATTTTAAATAACCTTACCTGACGTAAGCTCACGCGAAGGTGCACATTCTGCGCTCACGATGACGAGCAACATATCGTGACCTATTAGCTAACGTCACTAATAAATCTCCCCGTGCACTCCTTAACTCTCCTCTGATCTCATCTGCCATAAAGCGCAACTTTTCAGAAGAAAAGGCCCAACTCAACCCGTAGGTAAAACCGAGAGCCCCCGGCAAGCGAACCCGCGTGACTTACGGCCGCGCCGGCTCACTTACGATGGTGCGACAAGTCAACTTTTTGTGTACAGTACAGGCATGTGTCAAAAGACACAAAGGGGCTATGCGAAAGGTGACTTGAATGTGTGCTCGCCGAGTGTTTACATGCGTACGCCGTTTGATGTGTGCGTGTGTTCTACTGCGCGTGCGCGCTCGCACACGCACTCCCACTCTCACACTCAGACTCTCGTTAGGCCGAGCCAGCGCCACATCAGTCCATCATCACAGATATGGCTTCGCGGTCAGATAGCAGGTCTGGCGGCGCACAAGACATTTTGTCCACTCTGTCATGTTTACTTATAATGATAAGCTCTGATGGATTCCCCCCGCAAGCTATAGACGCCACGGCGTGCACACGCTCACCGCTTCACGCGCGCACGCTATCAAGGATTGACTGGGAAAGAGGGATCAACCCATTTCAAATATTACAAATAAAAGCTGATCAAGTAAACAGGTTTTATAGACAAACGCAAGATATGGATGGAAGAAGAAAAGGCCTCAGAAGGTTAAAGGTCACACTTAGAGGTTGTTGAGAAGATAACTGATTTTTAAAAGCTGATGAAAACCTTTTTTTTGGAGAAATTTAAGTGGGCACAAGAAAAGGCCAACAGTCTGTCACGTGATCGGCGTTCATGTTTGAAATGCGTGTGTCCACGACGAATGTTTCACAACCGCACAATTTGCCCCCAACTGGCGTTAAACCCGGTAATTTGAAAGTATTTAGCATGAATTTGGTCGTCGGCAGACTCCACGCTGCACTCTGTGATCTGCCGTGCGGCCTGTGCAATGTTTCCATTGGGTCGGTTTACTTTAGCCTGGCGTGTGGCCAGACGACAGAGCGGCTCACTATAACTCTTCTGGACCAATTAAAGAGACTAATGAGGCCCAAGCTTATCATGTCAGAGCACCCCCCCCCCCCCCCCTCTCCCCCACCCCACCCACCATCACCCCACCCCTCCACCTCTGCCCCCCTATAAACCAAGACAGGCAGCGAGGAGACCGCGCACTGCTGGTTGGAAGCTGATCACGCGACGCCTACTGTCTCAGATTGATGATTTGATTCTCAAAACACTTCATTTGTCTCTCGTTTCTATTGAGAAATATTCAAACACATCAGCGCTGACTCACACAGTGTATTGTCGGCCGTGCGCATAAAACCCGACTATTGCACGAGGAAGAAAAGACATCTCAATAATTGTAACGTGGTTCGTGGTTTGCTGCTGTCTTGTCGCTTTTGGACGGAATACGCAAAGTCGGGCTAATTAACACAATACACCAGTAACTGTTATTTATTTCTAGGACATATTAGTACATTCTAATCGTTTATTCTGATGTTGAGGGAAGTGTGGTTAAGGATGTGGATTTTACATTCACTGTAGTTCCGCACAATCTTTTTTCTCAGAAAAACAGTGTTTACTTCTTCACGAGGCCCCGAACCTTTTGTTGGGAAAAGCGTTGGTGCAGATGCAGACGCAACAGACCAGCGCCATGATG